GGGACATGTTTTATACCCCAAGAAAAGCCAACAAAGAAACTAATGGCCTTCTGTGGGAGCTAGGACAAGAGGAAATGGCCTCAAGTTGCACCAGGGGCAGTTGAGATTGGCTGTGAGGAAGAATTTCTTTACTGAAAGGGTTCTCAGGCATTGGAAGGGGTTGCCCAGGGCAGTGGTGGAGTCCCCATCCCTGGAGGGATTGAAGAGTCGTGTAGACACAGTGCTGAGGGACATGGGTTAGTCGGGGACTTGTCAGTGTTGGGTTCATGGTTGGACACGATGAGCTTAAAGGGCTTTTTCCAATCCAGGCCATTCTGTGACTCTGATTCTGTGACTTACTAGGGAAAAATGAGGCACAGTGATCTCTTGGGAGAAGCAGATCCTCCCAAGGAGGATCCCTTTGCTGTTCTGTGCACGCAAAGTCCGTCACAGCTGTCCTACAGATGGAGAAAGCAAACAGACTCAGCAGTCGTGTGGAAGGAAAATGACTCAGCCGAGGCCTTTCCTCCACCCTTCAGCGGGTAGCAAGGGAAACAGAGGGGAGCTGGGAGGCTCTGGGGTGCCAGAACGGCTCTGCCAGTGACAGCACTCGTTGCATAAGGTGGCCTTGCAATCTGGTGTAGGATCACCTTGCCAAGTGGCCTTTCACAGCAGGGCGTTAGTCAGTAGGAACCAGGGCATCACCGAGGCCCCGGGACAGCCGTGAGCAACAACCTCCCACCCCAAGATGGCTGCAGGTTAATGATGCTTCACTCTTAATTAAACTGAACAAGAAAAGATTGCCCCCACCTCTCCTTTCTGTGTATAAATTGATATAAAACTCGCATTTCCTTCCTGGTACTGTTAGTGACACTGTCCCCAGCACCCAGCCATCAAGTTCCAAGTGCCAGTTCCTGGCATCAGGCACTCGTTTGGCTTTGAGCCACGGGGGACGGTCACCCCACCTGGGGGGCTCAACCCTTTGGGACCACAAACTTTTTGTGTCCCCTCTGCCCTGGCTGGTCACTCACCGCCTTTCCCTGCCAACAGCACACACCTCTCTGCTCCCCGGGGATCTACATCCGCACCCTGATCGAGGACAGCCCCGCGGCCACCCCCGGCAGGCTCTCC